TCAAACCAAATAAATCTAAAAATGTGTTTTTACATTCTTTGTCTATAATCTAAAGAGCTTAACTTACCATGTACCGGTGACAATTCTTCTTAATCCTAGATAAGGATATCTTGTACGAAAAGATAAAAGGATAATCCTCCGCCTATTTACTAAGTACACGATACTATATCTTAATATATAATATGTTAAAAAATATTATAAAAAATTTAAACCATTTTCAAAACTAACGGATCCCGGAACTTTTTTTTACCAAATGATGGTTCAGAAAATCATTTTTTTAATTTGAAAATACGATTTGAAAGAGGTATGGCCAATTTCACTCACAAGATCAAAATGGCAAAGTTGATGAAACATAGTGGAACTTTGAATATCAAAGAGCCTATCTAATATTCTCAAAATCGGATATTTAAACCTGGTTGAAAGTTTAATGTTAAAGAGCCTAGATTATATACTTTTAAATTCAGCGAGTCCTATGATCAGTTAGTCATTCTCTATTTTGAAAATACTATTTACTTGAAAGAGGTATAGCCTGAATGCTACATATCATCGAGTTTTTACTTTCCATGAGTCACCCGATGGATGCCACTAGTGGACCAGGAAATGCTTACCCTTCCGGAGTACCTGACGAGTTCGTCACCGGTTTTAGTGGGGTTCGTGTTGACAATCTTAAGTTTTCTGTGTTGTGTTTTATAGAATGTTGTTTAGTCTTTACGTCATTCTTTCTGTTTGATCTTAGTACTATCTGTTGTATTTGACTATGTGTATATTTGACTATCCAGTTCGCTTTACTCCCTCTTCTTTATGCATTTGTGTTGAAGACAGTTTTGATAAAATATTGCAAATTTTACAAGGTTTTTGTAGGAAGCCAATAACCAGAATGAACTAACTTGTATCTGGAAGGCAGTACTTCAAATAGTATTATGGTTTTGGTTAAAAAAATCATTTTAAAGATATTGCCAACATTTTTCAAAATTCCCGTTCTATGCAATCGATCAATTAGAATTTTATTAAAGATGAAGAAATACGGCAATAACATCGTTACATCCTCGAAGTACAAATATGAGACAATGGTACAGTAAATTTTATTAAAGATTGAATTACTTTTTGAAAATGACCATATAGTGTGAAATAAACTCAATGGCATTTAGCCCTCTCTGTGTATGCTTGGAGTCATAATCATTAAATCTGTGAATTTAAGATGTTTTGATGATGATAGTGTTAAGATATTTTTACCGAGTTACTTAAATCTACCTTGTGATAGTCCCTATAAAAGAGCGTGAGAAAAATACTAAGGATATCGTTCTTGTTTTGCTTATAAATTTTCCCAGAGGAAGCAGTCTGAAAATGTGTATAATCAATTGTCTTTTAATAAGTATATGTATATTATAGTGATTGAGTGTTCTATTGTAAATATGTAATTTGTATTTAAAGGGAGAAATTTAATCGATGTAAATTTTATCTATCGATTTCAGTTTGTGGATCTACAACATAAGTTCACAGAATTGATAATAAAATATTAAAGGAAAAAATAGAAAAGAAAAAAAGAAAAGAAAAACAGGATAATCTCAATTTACATGCGTTTACTTTGCCAAACGAAAAAAGATTGGAACAAATAACTTGCCATGAACCAATAGCCTGCGGCGCCTCTATTGATTGTTACAAGGGAAAACTCACCCAATAAATTCTTAGATATTAATACCCAAAATGATTACTTTCGGCTTGAGCAAGGAAGCTCAAGGAAAATTACAATACATTTTGAAAATAGTCTTTTTAATGATGAGAATTCGATTAATGGAAATAAGTTAAGAACTTAAAGAAAATATAAAGTAAAGTATGAACTTGAAAAATATGTTTTATAAAAAAAAAAATATAAAAATGTCAAAAATAAAAAAAATGTCAAAATAAGAATAAACAGCACGCTAGCTATTGAACGTGGTAGATATATTAAACCAGTTTTAGAAAATCGATTGTGCCCCCTATGTAATATGGCCCTTGGTGGAAGATGAATTCCATTTCTCAATAATATGTGCACAACTCAATAACTTTAGAATGAAAATGTTTAATGAAATTTCTGATATTGTTCCTAGTTTTATTTCAATGAGTAAAATATGACATTTTGAAATTTTTTTTTGTGGCATTAGTGAGATGTGTAATTACAGAACTTTTCAAAAGTTTTCTTTTTAACAACACATGTGTTATAGTAATCTCAGATAAAACCTAAAATAGGAATGAATATAATAGAAGTAAGCAGGATTTCTTCTTATTTTATACAACTATTCCAAATATAATAATTTGAATACGAATTTGTTGGGAGGCATTTAAGAAAAGAAAAAGAAAAAAAAACTAACTCAATTTTTTTGTTTTTGTATATTTTGTAAATGTTATATATTTGTGTTGTTTATTGTTTATATGTGTTATTTCATGTATTGAGTAGCAATCCTATTGTTTTCTTCTTCTTTAAGTTTTCCAGTCATCCATCAGAATAAAGATGATCCATAACTGGTGCATGCGTGGCCTATTTATTTACAACAAGTTAATATAAAGTTATATAAAAAAAAAACGGTGCAAAGAACAGTCGTAGTGATTTAAACTATGCACAGGAGATGAAGCTATTTAAATGAGAGTGGAGAGACCAGCATATGTGAACTGCTCTCTGACCGAGTCGACTGTCAGTGAATGAGCAACTGTAGTTGGTAGAAGATTCCATTGCGTTATTGTGTATGGGAAAAATGAAAATATATACGAGTCCTTGGATGTATAGATGTGTCTGAAGTTGTGTGAATGATGTTTTCTGGTTCTTGAGTTGATGGAATGAGAACTGTGCTAGATGGTATAGCAACAAGATGATGTGTGATCTTGTACATCATAACCAGGCGTGCACGTAATCTGCGTTGTGTTAATTGTGGCCAGTTGAGTGTGTTTAGCATGTTTGATACACTGCTTGTGTTATGATACCTGTTGCAGGCATACCGAGCAGCTCTCCTTTGGACCATCTCTATCTTAGAGATAGATTCTGAGGTGTGGGGGTCCGAAACCGAGCAGGAGTACTCGAGTTTGGGACGGACAAGTGTTTGGTATGCCTGGCTCTTAATGTTTTGGTTAGATGTTTTCAGGTTTCTCCTAAGAAAGTCAAGTGTTTTATTTGCTTTGGAGATATTGTCATCTATGTTTGTCCCATTTGAGGTTTGACTGTAGTGTGATGCCTAGGTATTTAGCAGATGTAACAGTTTCTAAAATATGATTGTGAAGAGTGAGTGTAGTTATGTTGTAAAGGTTGGCGTTTAGTTGTGACAGAGAGAACAGTGCACTTGTCTGGGTGGATGGCCATCAGCCAGTCCACTTCCCATCAAGATCAGCTTGCAGTTTGAAGCAGTCACCCTGGGATTTCACTGGCATGTAAATGATACTGTCGTCAGCAAATAATCTTAGTTTGCTATGAGTAAGGTAGTCTGGAAGGTCGTTTATATAGGCCAAGAATAGGACTGGACCTAAGACAGTACCTTGTGGAACCCCAGAGGTGACTGGGACTGTGCTTGATGATCTTCCCTCCATGACAACTGTCTGAGTACGGTTGGAGAGAAATGCAGAGATCCAGTTTAATGTGTTTCCATTGATACCAAAATGATTTAATTTTTATAGTAAGTGACGATGAGGAACTTTATCAAAGGCTTTTGCAAAGTCCATTATAAGATCTGTTTGTGTATTTGAATTGTTTGTGGATTGAAGTTCTTGGATGAAGGAGAGAAGTTGTGTTTCGCAAGAACGAGAGTGCCGAAAGCCTTGTTGGAGGTCGTACAAGATGTTATTTGATTCAAGATGTTTCATAATGTGTGACGTGACTATATGTGCTCCATTAACTTGCAGCAAATGCAAGTTAATGAGATTGATCTATAGTTGACAGGTTTCATGTTTGTCCCCCTTTTTATACGCAGGTGCAACTCTAGCATGTTTCCAGTCGTCAGGTGTGATTCCGGTGTTGTAAGATTTTTGAAATATTTTGCAAAGAATTGGTGCTATTTGTGCCTGGATTTCTGTGAGTAAGCGGCCACTGATGTTATCTGGGCCGGTGGCTTTATGAGGGTTGATTATACTCTTTTAATTATCTTATCTAACATGCTTAATTTAATGCTTCTTGATTCTTAACCGGCCATACCTACATCAGAGACATATAATACAATAGTGTCTCTGTCTACATTCATAATTCATCATTGTGTTTTCTGATACAAATTCGTAACAACTGAATTAAAAACTTGACTATAAAAAATGTACATGCAAACAAAAAATAAAATCTAATAAAATATGAATTAGGGAGCTACCATTTGATTTTTATGGGTGGGCTAGGACGAAAAATTTTGTCCTGCCTATTTATTTTTCCCTCTATTCGATCCTGCCTTTTTATTTTTCACTCTATTTGGTCCTGCCTTTTTTTTTTGTTTATCCTAACTTTTTTTTTACATAAATTGTCATCCTGCCTTTTTTTGGGGCAAATAATCTCATCCTGCCTTTTTTTTTTACTAAAAACTCCTGTTCTGCCTATTTTTTTTCAAATTTCATCCTAGCCCCCCCCCCCTCCCCCCTAAAAATCAAATGGTAGCTCCCTTAACAAGAACGTGTCCATAGTACACGAATGCCCCACCGTGAAATTGGGGTCAAAACTCTAATTTGGCATTGAAATTAGAAAGATCATATCATAGGGAACATGCGTCCTATGTTTCAAGTTGATTAGACTTCAACTTCATCAAAAACTACCTTGACCAAAAACTTTAACCTGAAGCGGGACAGACGAACGAACGAACGGACGTACAGACCGAAACACATAATGCCCCTAGGTGGGGCATAAAAATAATACGTTTGGCCGGTATTTGCATTTTGTTCTCCAGTCAGAGCTTATGTTTGGCAAATTGCAATAATGTCTTGTATATATATACCGACTAAAAATAATTTAACTGATGCATATAAGAGGGGAGGCAACTCTTTACTCTCCTGTCAAGAAGGAGAATTCTGTCTTCGCCATTTGTTTGCAGTAGCAACATTCCTCAATTTTATTTTTGAATGCTGGTACAAAAGGTCAAAAGATGAGTCGAGGAGGCAGTATACCAAGGGGAAAGTATGAAAAAAATTTATTTGATATTCGGAGAATTTATATAGTTTATAGCTGCTGAATTTGCGTCTGAGCTTAAAATGATTTATAGACGTGTTTTGCACAGACTTGCAGTGTTTCAACAACTAAAGTTAACATTGTGTTTTAATTTCAATGCATGTATTGTAGAACACAGTTATTATGAATTGATGATAAAGTTTAATTATAAATGAAAAAAACACAATAACATAATGATAAAGCAATAGACTTATTTAGTCTGCATGACTATTTGTGTTTGAATGGCCATTAGTTATCTCCCTTGAGTACAATATTCACCACTACACACAGGAACACTTATAATAAAAAATACCACTGATCATGACTACACAATTAATCTTTATTTATATATTTGACTATCCTTTGAACAAGAATAATGAATATGTTAATAAATTAAATTGCAATGCAAGCTATTTACAAAAAAATTTATGAAACATAAAATGCATGATCATTAATCAAATTACTTGCAAGCAGAGCAAAAGCAGTCAGAACCACTCCTGGACTGAACAAGACTTCTAAAATGTGTGAAGCTGTTTTCAGTCCGAATGTGGTCTTGTAATCTATTCTGTAGAGAAGCAGCAAATCGAAAAGATTTCTTATTACTTTACTACATTTGTTGTACATGTGATAATTCACAACTGTGATATTTCCACTAAGGGTGTTACTGTATCTAAAAGAATACTTAGTATGTTTAATATGAAGCAAATTTTGTTAACATAATAGAGGCAAATTATTCCAAACTTTGTAAGTCTCAAGTGTTATTGTCCTGATGCGTCTCACTTGAAGATTTGGAACCTGAGTTCTCAAGAAGAGTTAACAAATCTAAACACTCTTTCTTGTATTTTTTCTGGTTTTCTATCATTTTTCTCTGTACAAAAATGCCAAGACAAAGGGCAAAAAATTCCCCTAAAAACAGACTAGGCAAGCAGCTTTTATGCCCTTGTACCAGTAAAAATATTACTATTTGACAGGTTGATTCCACATTCCATTTTCACAGGACTCTGTATCAAAAAAAATTAAAGGATTATTGGATGAAAAATAACATTAAAGACAAACAGTTTTAGTTGACCTAATGTAGAAAAAAATCTTTTTTATCTTTATTGTTTTGAATATTTGGATTTTTATATCTTTTCCAGAGAAAAGGAATCGCTCAATTCTTCAAGAAATATGTGAGCTTTGGTTGAAATTGGTTTAATGTTTCTTAGATAATCAAAATATCACTTCACTTTCAGAAGTTAATACATTGTACATGTAATAAGTTGAAGTTCAGATAACAGAAATGAAGATTTAATGTACATTGAACCATGATAACAAGAATAATATTTATTTTTTGAACATATATACTGAAAATCTTTTATGCTTTTTAGAAATTTTGAGGAAAAGTTCCACTGACAACATGTCTTCATTGGTTTTATGACAAATATATTTTTTTATATAGTTTACAAATATTTTAAATGGCTAAGCAATCAGTATAAGACATGAAATTACTTCTGAAAGAGAAAAATAGATACATGTATATATATATCTATATTTAGGGATAGTAGATTTGTTGCACATTTGTATGGGTTGGGTGCTTTTTATTTTACAATAGTAAATACATCAAATACAGAGGGTATCACATATATGTATATGTATGACAAGTCTGAAATAAACTTGTGATGTATGATCAGGCTCAAAATAAGAATACTATTGTTTATTCAACCAATAGAAGGTGTTGGCCAGTTAATTTTCTACCAGAAACAGTAAATTAGAAGAAAAAAAATTAAATGCACACCTTTTCCAATATTTTTTTTTATCAAACTAGGGATGTCTTTAATTATTATTATGGACTACAAGAAGTAGAAAATATTCCAGCAGGTATAAAGATATTTTAAGTCCATGTCCAACATTGTATCATTCCATTACCATATTTCATTTACATTGACAGCAGTACATTGTCATCGACATTAATTAAAGAATCGTAAGTTTCACACACTATGGTGTTGTTGGTGCTTAATAACATGGCTCACTGAAAGATCATTACTTCATTAGGGAGCTACCATTTGATATTTATGGGGAGCTAGGATGAAATTTGAAAAAAAGGCAGGACAGGAGTTCTGAGTAAAAAAAAAGTCAGGATGAGCAACTTGGCAAAAAAAAAAGACAGGATGACAATTTATGTGAAAAAAGTCAGGATAAACTAATAAAAAAAAGGCTGGACCGAATAGAGTGAAAAATAAAAAGGCAGGACCGTAATTACAACAAACAAAAAAAATGCAGGACAAAATTTTTCATCCTAGCCCCCCATAAAAATCAAATGGTATCTCCCTTAATTGTACATTGCAAAGTAAATTATAAATTTCTTGAAAATTTCACACACAAAGAAATTCCAGAAGCCAACAAGTTCTTTTTAATTGTGTAATAGGTCAAAAGAAAAAGTGTGATTTTGGTCTGGTTTTATCCAGAAGCAAAAATTTTTATTGTCAATGTCTAAATATGAAGAAAAAAATCAAACCTTTCAGAACTTAATCCTTTTTGTCTAGCATAAAATTTCTTGTCATAATGTAATGACAGAATATCTTGAAATTTTCCTGACTGGGAGGATATCAGAATAGAATGAATATAAATAGCTACAACAACCAGTTTTACTTATTTTATTTTTCTCAGAAACATTTTGTTCTAACAACAGCAAGATATTAAGTCCAAAGTGTTTTATGAAAATGAATTGCAATCAAATGAATTTATTTATGGGCAGATAACTCTTAAATTGATACTATTTGAGAAAATTTTCTAATATTTTGACATGTAGGAGTCAATCTAAATCACACTGATATTTATGGTTAAGTTTATCATTAGAATAGACATGATTATTCAATATAGCTTATTAAGTAATGATCTTTAAGTTAGTCATTGACTCGCATGTATATATTGTCTACTCACCTAATACCCCATGTTTGTTTGTACATTTATTACCTTACCTACTTTATTTCCTGTATCAATTAGAGCTAATCTTTATTTTGTGTTAAACAGAAAGAAGTTAGAAGTCATTTAAATATATTGTGTTTTATTAATACCTTGGATATATCTGGGAACAAAAATAATGATTACAGTACTTACACAGAGAGAGAACTGATTCTCATACTCAAAACACTGATTCAAGTCTACGATGAAGTAGGGGCATTATGTTTTCATAGTAGGCACCTGTAAGTTTTTGGTTTAAGGTCGATTATCTTGAAGTTGTGGTCATATCTGATCAACTTAGAACTTTATAAACATGATCATTATGATGTGTACTTAAAAAAATACATTTATATGCCAAATTTAGGGTATTGACCCTGATTTCATGGTTCACTGAACATGAACATGAGATACTTGGAGCTGAGCATGTTGTCTTTATGGACACATATTGTTTAAATTTATGATTTTCGATTTTGTAAATTTTAGGTATAATTGGAGTTAATTGCTTTCTCCTCTTCACTCAGTGGTCGTAAATGTATTCACTCTTGAAACATCTCCAATATATGTTTAAATAAAAAAACACAACTTTTGAAATGATCTCTGATATGATTTGAACAGATTGTTGTAAACAACCAAAGATATGCATGTTAACCAACTTTCTTGCAAGTCTTCAATATTTTTTTTTCATTTAATCAAATGCTGATTTAAAATATTTCTGGTGTTGAAACAGAAATTGATCAGGTAGAACTCTCGTAAATCAAAGTTAAAGTCACTAGAAGAATATTCAATATATGACAATTGTTTTAAAATTCACAGATTGAAATGATCATTTTGGATGTAGCACAGAAATGTCTATATTTTTTATGTTTTAAATGTGTTAATTTTGTAACATTGTTGACAAATAATGATTTAAAGACAAATTTGATTGTTTTGCGTTAGATATAACATTGGAATAAAGTTAAAATTTAATGTATGTAAGTATACCATGATGCTAAATTCATCCACACAAATATTTCAAATCATATATATTGATCTTTAAGAATGTCATAAAAAAAAATTGAATCACAAGTAGATTCAGAAACTTTGGTTCTATATTGAATGCATCTGAATATGAAAGTTTCAAGCATGAATTCATTTAAAGCACCATACTGCATTCAATAAATTTTTTCTCTGTAGCTTCATTCTTTCTGAACCTATTGCAAACAAAGGATGCCTTGAGGCATTGCTCCTCATGCTTCAACAAAAAGTTAATGTGAAAGTTTTGGTAATCAACTTGTTATATCTAATTTTTATTTTTAATTTTAAGTACACACTAATGTTAACATACATCTAGTTTATACATATTTCATTGTTGAAATAATACATGACAAAAGGATTGTCCATACCTCTGTAATACCTCAAAAGAGTTCTCTTTATGTTTTAAGTCTCGCATGCAATGATTGTTACAGAATGTGAGACACGCTAGGGATGCTTATCCTGCGGCAGTTATGTAAACTATTTGTATAAAGCTTTGTATTTCAGAAGGTAGAAGACCTAGACACTTCATATCTTCTATACATATGTCTTATGTTCTGAAGTGTCCATCTGTTCTTGACCTCATTTTTGTGGTTTATTGACTGTTTGAAAAAATTAGTATTTTAATTTTGTAATTTTTACATATTTGAGTAAAAGTCTGATTGATTGATTTTTGTTTAAAGCCGCTTTCAGCACTGTTGTGGTATTTTGTGGTGATCATTTTTTTTTTTTGGTGGAGATAGCCAGAGTGTTCGGAGAGAACCTTCAGTTGGAAAACTGACAATTCTAGTCAATTACAATTGGGAGTTGAATGCACCTACCAACCTCAGTGTTGACAGGCTTGTGATACAGTTGTTCGACTACCAAGACCACTCGGCAACAGAGACCCCTTTAAGTAAAAGAATAACTATATTTGGAATATAGGTGTTGCAAGGTCCACTTCTTCTTTGGACAGGCTTCTACCAGACCTTGACCTCATGGTTCAATGTCAATCTTTCTTAAGGTCCATTTCTCAGCAAGCAATAATTCAACTAAATTTGATGTATAGAATGATTGTAAGGTGTACATGTCTGTATGGAAGGTTCATCACCGTTCCTATGACCTCATTTTCATGGTTCATGGGTCAACATTAAGTTTTCTTAGTCAGGTCTTTTCTCAGATACTATAAGCAGTAGGTCAGGCACAGGCACAAAGGAGTAGGTCCGGTAAGGGCCGATTTTGGCCTCAAAATTCAGGTTCATCTGATGAAAGATTTTGGACACTTTTTAAACACTGAAGTGTCTACTTCAGTCGATTCGATTAGTTTTATGTGAAAGATTTGAACTGATTTAGTCATGAAAGACGCTCAAATTCAAGCTTAAATATGAGAAATCTATCAAATATGCCATAATATGTCACTTTTCAGTTGGTTTTTGTCAAAAATGAATGAGGCCGCATTCGTGTTCATTCTCAACCTTTATATATGTTATGTATTATCATCAAATACAACTTACATTTAAATATTAAGAATGAACACAAATGCGGCCACTTCCATTTCAGACGGAAACCGTCTAAAAATTAACCAAAATGCTAAAATTTCGAAGATTTCAGTAATTTAGCATGACTTAATGATGCTAGTACCCAATACATGTGCATTGTATTGTCAAAAACAGCCCATATGTATGTAACAGAAGTATTCTTCTTTCAAATAAATAGCTGAAAATTTACATTTTAACAATTTTGTAAAACTGCTATATTTTGGGGCCAAAAAGGAGTCTTACTGGGCCTTCTCCTTTAGTTAGGTCAACAAATTCTGCTTACATTTAAACCATCTTTGTATTATTGATTAATAAATGATTTTTTTTTCAAGATTTAAAAAATTGAACACACCAAAAATTAACCAATCAAAATATTCTGATTTATGGACGTGTTCACACATTCCGTCCTGCAATCTGAAGAGTGAAGACACTTGATTTTCATTGAGATCTTGTACAATGAATGTGAACATTTTTTGTTTATACATACATGTGTATTTTAAAGCTATTTCATCATATTTTTAGTATTTTTATCAGTATGTATATTTTAATTGGCCTCAGGTTTACATATGCACTGAGTACAAATTTCTATTGGCCCTGGTCTCCCGATACATGTATAGATAAAATAGATTGCACGGAATACCTTATATATTTTTTATATATATGCCAGTTATATGTTGTACATTATTTATATTCTATTGTACCATTATAAATGTTATTTATATATTTACTTAAATTTAAGTGTGACTTATCATAAGGGGATATATGTCATTTGATTTGAGCAAAAAATTGCTAATTTAGGGAATATTTTGGCAAATTCAACATACAATACAAGCATTGCCAAATTGCATTTATGCCATTTGATTTGAACAAAAATGAGCCAATTTAAGGAATATTTTTGCAAATTCAACATACAATACAAGAATTGCTCAAATAGTATTTTGCCAACAAGTATAATAATTACTGTACACTTCCTGTATGAATATAATTTTTAGGCCAGGGTAGTGCTGCATAATTTTTTCAGCCAATGTAGGTCAAATAGTCATTATTTGAGTAATTTTTCCATTTTACACTGAAAAGGAAAATGTTTTGTACATCATTATTATTTTATTGAAGCACATTGATCCAACATTTAATTTTAGAAAACAGAAATTTTGAGAGAAAAAAACATTGTAGTGGCTGTTTGGCCACAAAATGTAATTTCTACCATATAAATAGAATTTTTTGTTTCTTTGAAAAATAGAATACATTATACCCTTTGTGAATTATTTAATTATTTAGTCTGTATATATATATATATATATATATATATATATATATATATATATATTCAAAGGCTTAGTCTTCACTATAACACAAGAATACAGTCTCTAAAAAATGTACTACTGTTGAAAAACCTTTAAACTGCACCTATAAACTTATATGGATCACTACATATATAAAAAGTAATGAATAGGAGGGTTTCACGTTGAAAAGATTTATTTTTAATTCATCTTGCCTAAAAGTCCAGTTATAAGATAATGAGATCACTTTTTATGCCTCTGTCGTAGCGGTCAGGGCATTAAGTTTTACCCTTGTCCGTCTGTACGTACGTACGAACGTACGTCCCAAAATTGGTTTCCGTTCTCTAACTTGAGTTTGCCTCAATCAAATGTTACGAAACTTATACACAATGCTTATTCCCACAAAACACAGATCAATTTTGAATTTTGGTGGCGTCACTTTAACCGTTCTAGAGTTATGCCCCTTTATACATGGAAAAATTGCAAAATGTTTAGTTTCCGTTCTCTAATTTAATTCATATGTAAGTCTAAATTTGTAATCTTTACAAAAACCTTCTCCACTAAAGCCAATAAGAACCAAATTAATCCCCAATTATTCCAAAGGAGTAAATGTGAAATGATAAAATTACTCAAATAAGATGGTATTGCTTCATTTGTTAAATATATATAGAAAGTTTATATTTGTCTCCTGTTATCTGTTTTGTTAATTTAAATTGAATTATTTTTTCAGTGAGAGCCAAGCCAAATTCTGTCAAAGCCGTGTAGCCCTTGTGGAGAAAAATTATGGAAATTTGTGTGAAACACTGGGTTCAATAACACGTAAAGCTGCTAGACAGAGAGACAAAGGTTACCAATTTATAGTACTCTTAATCCTTTTAAGTTTCTTGATTTAAATGTTTCAAAAAAAGAAAAACTACTGATACTGTGTAATTATCCCCATTGTTCCTCGCACAAGGTGGTGCAGGGCTGGGGATATAGAAATACCAGGTGTTTGTCAGTACAGTCTGTTAAACGCTCTCATGTGTACTATTCTTGCCAGATTTTTATGACATTTATATCATAGGTTTCTATCCGCAATGACTCGTACAATTAAAAAAAAACAACAGAAAACCTATAAAGGAGTTTAATGCCCTTGAAAATTTAAAATATATGGAAAAATTGTGCACTGTAAGCACTCTCATTTCTTGTGGGATTGTATATCAAAGGTTTATATCAGCAATATACATGATGATTTCGAAAATCAGCTATGTCCCTTGGAAATTTAAATTTAAATTGCATTGAAAGGGCTATCAAGCTTACATTTGTTGTCAGAATTTTATGAAATTTATATCAAAGGTTTTTAACAGTGATGTCTCGGACGAGTTTGAAAATCAGTGCCGATCAGTTATTTTACATGAATTTAATATTATTTCCCTTTGAAATGTAAAATATGGAACATTGCATTGTAAGCACTCTTGGACAGATAAAATATGTGCATCGGTGGAGGATATTGGAATGCTGTTCGTTATTAACATTGTTATACTATGAATTGAAAGAGAAACCGTAGATCACTAAAATAAAAATTGTCCATCCAATCAAAATGAAAGATTGCCTCTGGCAGCCATGTTTTTTTTATTTGTTCTTAATGAATTGAGGAACATTTATTGCTGTTCTTCATAATGTTACTAGCACTGATTACATATACTTCATCTGAGCTCAAAAATGTTAGATCTACAAATTTTATTATTATTATATATGAGTAATTTTTTTTCAGGTGATCTTCTTGCCAAACAGTTACAGGAATATGCTAATTCTGAAAATATCAGTCATTGTACCAAAGCAGGACTCACCCTGTGTGCCCAAAATATGTCAGCTATACAGGACTATCGTGAGGCAGAGGTATCTGTTATTCTAGTATAGGCAGTTTGTAATCATATCAATGTATTAAACTGACTGAATTTCAGAGATATTCATTTAATATAGTAGAACTGGAATCTATGAAATATAGGATTCAAATTGACATGAGTTTCACTTAATAAATTGAGTATCAACACCAAATATATTTATACGCCAGTCATAGATTGAATGTATTATGTTATACATCTGTCCATCTGTCAGTTCATTCAATCGTCCACTAGTCATACAAAAGCAAGAGATCAAATTTCATGATATCTATGGAATATTATGAATCAATGGAAGTAAAATAAACAGCTGGGCCATGAGCGCATAATACGCCCGTCGTCTTGTGTGTGAATTTCTATGCAATAATCATAAATAGTTTCTGACATACGGCGCGACATACAAAAAACTCAATATCTCTAAAATAAAATTTTGAATCAAAACCCAAAAGTATACAGATCTTTAGATTAATATAACTAAGAAGTGTGTAAGATTTTAAGCAATAATCATAAATCGTTTTTGAGATACGACGCGACATGTGAAAACCCCCCTTTTTAAAAAAAAAAAATCAATATCTCTAAAATAAAATTTTGAATCAAAACCAAAAAGTATACAGATCTTTAGATTAATATAACTAAGAAGTGTGTAAAATTTTAAGCAATAATCATAAATCTTTTTTGAGATACAGCGCGACATGTGAAAAACCCCTCCCCTTTTTTTTACAAAATACTCAATAACTCAAAAATAAAATTTTGAATCATCACCAAAAAGTATACAGATCTTAAGATTAATATAATTAAGAAGTGTGTAACGTTTTAAGCAATAATCATAAATTTTTTTTGAGATACGGCGCGACATGTGAAAAAAAACACACACCTGTTTTAGTTACTAAGTCCTGTAACTCAAAAAGTTTTAATCTTATTTTCACCAAAAAGTATACAGATCGTTTGACCATCATAAGAAACAGCTATTTTAAGTTTCATGAAATTTGGATAAGTCGTTCTCAAGCTACGATGCGACATGTTTACGCCGGACAGACAGACGGACAGACAACATTTGTATACCATAATACGTCCCGTCAAAATTTTGACGGGCGTATAAAAAAGTTGTTTTCCCTTCAAATATTATGAACTTTAATAGCCAGATTTAAGGTAATTTTTCACATATTGAGCACTTACTGGAGTAGGATTGATTTACTTGAAACTTAACATTGTTGTTTGGATTGGTAAAAATAAGCTCCCTTTTGAGATAATTTTTTATAAATTTCATTTAAGTCAATTTTTCACATGTTGCACACTTACTTAGGTATGCTTGGATCAATTTACTGACAATTTTATACTTATAATGATTGGGTTTGGTTAAAGTAAAATACCTTTTGAATTCGAAAATTTTATGATTTGTGATTTCATAGTTATGGGACTTTACCCTCTAATTATAAGGCAAATATTCACATGCTGTGTAGTAGCTTGTGAGTGCTTGGATCAATTTACCTCAAACTTTATGCTGTTGTTAGGATTGATGTACCGGGGTACTCCATTTTGATTTTGGAAATTTTCCTATTCGTTTTTTTTTTCAAGAGTTATGTGACTTAAACATTCATATTAAATGACATTTTTATAGACCTAATGATATACTCCTTGCAAGTTTTTTCTGCAGAACCATTTTTGTCTCGCCTTGACGGATTCAAAAAGCGTGACATAGGTATGCTGTTTCCGGCGGCGGCGGCGTCAACAATGTATTAGTTTGTGATTAGGTCTAGTTCATGGTGAACCACTAGTGGTAGGTCAATGATATTTGGTATGCAGTTGTATTAGCATTGGCACATCTCATTACCATGGAGATTATTTGGCCCCGCCCCCTCAGTCAAGGTCTATTGACTTTGAAACTTTTCAAAGTTTACATGTATTAGTTTGTGATTAGGTCAATTTATGGGGAACCACTAGTGGTAGGTCAATGATGTTTGGTATGCAGTTGTATAAGCATTGGCATATCTCATTACCATGGAGATTATTTGGCCCCGCCCCTTCAGTCAAAGTCTATTGACTTTGAAACTTTTCATAGTTTACATGTATTAGTTTGTGATTAGGTCAATTTATGGGGAACCACTAGTGGTAGGTCAGTGATATTTGGTATGCAGTTGTATAAGCATTGGCATATCTCATTACCATGGAGATTATTTGGCACCACCCCCTCAGTCAAGGTCTATTGACTTTGAAACTTTTCATAGTTTACATGTATTAGTTTGTGATTAGGTCAATTTATGGGGAACCATTAGTGGTAGGTCAATGTTAATTGGTGTTCAGTTGTATAAGCATTGGCATATCTCATTACCATGGAGATTATTTGGCCACCCCTGCTCATGGTTCATTGACTTTGGAAGTTTTACATAGTTTACAAGTTAATGTTTGTGTTTAGGTTTATTTAAAGGGAACGACTTATAATAAGTCAATGGTATTTGGTATGCAGTTGTATTAGCATTGGCACATCTCATTCCATGGAGATTGTTTAGCCATGTACCTTCAGTCATGGTTCATCTACTTTGAATATTTACATAACTTACATGTTAAAGTGTTCTATTTTATAATTTCAACATTTGCATTATCAAAATTACAAAAAGGCGAGACATATCTCTGTGATAACAGTTTATACTGACTTCTAATTTATTGCCTTCTTCAATACACCGATTTTTCCTTGAAACAATTTCAATATGCAAACAACAGGTGTATCTTGTACTCTTCACTCACGGGGCAACTGTTTATTTTAAACAACTTTTCATAGATTCAATTAGAATTGACCTCTTGGACAGTTACATGACTTTACTTATAAATACATCAGTGTACTAAACTGTTTCACAAAAGCATGATTGTTTTCAATACACAATAAATATTAAATAACTTTATGTTAATTTCAAAATGAACCAGTCACAATAGAATGAGTGAATGCTGACTTCAAGTTTTGATATAAAAAGATATTTGTTGTAATGAATAAATGTTGTTAGGATTTTTTCTTTGTAGATTAAAAGACTAGAAGCAAAAGTGGTTCATCCCTTGAGTGGTTACGGTGATATATGTAAAAAAAAGAAAGTTAGTATTCACTTTCATTAAACATTTCTATTTTTTACTGCACTGGATTTGCAAATCAACAATGTCTCTTCAGCGAAGCCAAAGTATTTGAAAATACAAAATCAAAGGGGAAGTTATGATCAGGCTACATTTTTGGCTCTTTGAATTTGAAAGTTAAGAAGTACCGGTATTGTATTTCTGTTAGACTAATATAAACAACCTCCATTAGAGATTCACAAGGCATAGTATAATGGTTTACTTTTATAAATTTTGACTTGGATGGAGAGTTGTCTCATTGGCACTCATACCACATCTTCTTATATCTATATAGTAGTCTATCAGATACCAGTGTTTATATTATTTTCAAATTTCATATTACCTGTACATTATAGAAAAGAAAGGCTATAGTGTATCCATCCATCACACAAAATTGGCACATGCTCAGCAAAAAAACATAAAAAAGCAGAGAACCTGTGCTTCCATTGCTGTTCTTCATCTCAAAGTCACAGTGAGGCCTTCATATTTGCTTCAGGCCTGCAAAGTTCTTGCATTTAGCTTCCAAATAGCCTTGTATTAGATCTTATTAAATATCTAGAAATGAGCAACAGCCATACCCAAACCTTACTACATAATTTCATTTGAACAGGTGAAAAAGAATCTTCCTAGTGTGGAAAATTTCACCACAGTTTTGACAACGTGTTTGCTATTAAAACAAAATTAGTTTGTCCCATTGCATTAGATAATTAGATGAAAATTTTATATTGCAGAAAGATATAAGCACAGAATTAGGAAATATAAAGAAAGAACAGAAAACCTTACAACAATTAGAAAAAGTGAGAACTAAAAGTCCTGGAGATCAACATCAAATTGTATCCTTTTCTATATATTAGAAAGAAACATAGTTGTTAAAATAGCAATCTGTTAAAACAGAGGTAGATTAGGCATAAATGGACGGAAAATAATCATTTTGAAAATGTTTATAAGGAAATGCTTCTTTATTGTATGAATGAAAGGAGATAAAACATCAAAACAATGATGATAAAATCTGTATAACAAGGTTTCAAAAGATGTAAACAACACTATTATTGCTTTTGAAAAGATATGTCACATGTTTTGTATAGGCACATCAGACAGTCTATCACATATACATCAGGTACCTAAAACAAGAATAATTTTTGCTAGGAAAAACAAAAAAAAATTACGCTTTTTATTTTTGATAACTATGCAACAAAAAAAGAAAACATTTTTACAATTTCTTTCCCAATTCAATCCTGAATTAATGAGAAAAAATAACATTGAGAAAAAGTTAAAAATGTCACCTGTAGTGTATCAAAAACATTTTTTTTTCATTTTGTTTTATGTTTTCTGATATAAGAAATTAAAAATATAAATGCTTTCCATTTTTTTGCTTTTTTTTGTTGTAAGTTTTCCTTTTTAGATATCTTACAACAAAAAAAAGCAAAAAATGGAAAGCATTTTCGTTTTTAATTTCTTATATCAGAAAACATAAAACGAAAAGAAAAAAAAAGTTGTGCATTTATTGTTTAGTGTTTTGTGTTTTCTCATTAGAAAAAAAACGAATGTACTAAATATTCATAAGTATGACAATCACAGTAAGTATAACATGCCAAATGATACCCGTAATATACTGTATTGATAAATATTGAGATACCTTTGTTTACATATGCAAAAATAACATGTTAAAATTTTAATACCCACAACCAATTGAAAAACTGCAACTGTTTCTCAAATTTTTTTTCTAACAAAACATACATTCTTTCAATTCTACATTATTTATGATCTATTTTAATCAAAATACTTGAGAAAATACACATATAAATATATAATAATCTTTAAATACACAGAAACAGAAAAAGGTAATATTGAAATTCTATTTGACTGTAAAGAAGTAAAATCTGCAGCTACATTTGAGAATATAAATAAATATTGATCCTTAACTTTATTACAGCAAAGGGTAAGTAACTGCAGAGAGAATCTGGAGAATAACAGAACAGGTGCCATGGAAATGTCATTGATTTATTTATCTCTTTGACATGTATCCACAATGGTGTTGTGCAATCTTACATGTATTCAATATAGTTTAGACAAGAGTTATATCCCTTCTGTCCTGTTAGTCAGTTCAATTGCTGGGCACTTACAGGAGCAATGGAAGCAATATTGGGCATTCTGTTTTCATATAATTTTTTTTTATAAAAACATGCGTGCTTTGGTTGTATTGATATCTGTTTTCTTGCTCTAGCTTCATTGCACTTAATAATTAATTGGGAAATCAGCCATTTTATCATAGTTTTGAATGATTCGTTTCTTGTCACAGTTTGTAGTAAATTTTACATAGCTTTACCTCTTATTAAAGATGATCTTTTTTTTTAATTGTTGATTTTTTTCATTTGTCATATCAGAGTTATAGAACTTACTTAATAAAATAAAAGTGCCAATGTTGTACAGTGATTTGTGTTTAATTCTAACAGTAAATGGAATGAATGTTAAGATTTGAAGAAAGATCAAAGATATTTTACTTTTTGTTTAAGCAGATAAGAATAATATATAAATGAAGCATATTAATAAAAAGAATGGAAAGTAAGTGATTTTATTTTTTTCTGAGGTAGAAAATATGGGAAGAAATTCAGCCAGTAAGTGTGTTGGAAAAAGGGAACTGTTTTTCTTACAAAAACATTTGTTTTTCTTCAAAAATTTATGCAGGAGTATAAATATAAAAGAATAGATTGTTAAGGCAATAAACTATTTGAAGAGGTCTTTTCTCTAAATTTAAAAGAATAATGTTGTGTTTACAGGCAGAAACAGAACTGAAGAAAGCCAATGTTGATTCTGAGATGGGAGGAAAAGCTTTAGAGGAACAAATGGTAGTGTTTGAGAAACAAAGATTGGGGGATGTAAAGGTAAATAATATATACATGCCAGAGATCTACATAAATTGAATATTTTAGAATATGTAAAGACAAGTTTTTCTTTGATAAGGAAAGAAGAAAGTATATTTTTGGCCTTATTTGACTCTGAAAATTTACCTTAAATATAAAATAAAATGATTTTTGTGTGAATTAGTATATAGACTCAAAAACACATCCTGTTAAGGTCATTGCCATCATTAAACGGTAAAATTGTCTCCTCAGAAAACACTGAATTAATTTCTACCAAACATGGCTGCATGGCCAAAATAGAACTAAAATGTGAAATACAAATAACTGTGTAATTAATATCGTCAAAACCATATTGGGTAGGGAAAATCTGACTGGAAGACAAAATATTATTTTGGTATTTGTCTTGAAAACTCATATATAGTGTTACAGTAAACCTGCAAAATTAATCAACAAAATAGGATATATAGGTAAGTCAACATGACAGAAATAGTTGACAGTTTTGACCATTTTCCTTTCCTGGATAGACAAAATTTTGCACATTTTGTTATAATTAAAAAAGAAATTCTGCTATAATCTTAATTTAAACGTAAATAGATATACAGAAACTTTGTCCAACATAAATGATCATCTAGACAGATTTTTTTTTTATTAGTGTCTATTCAACAACTACAGTCTTGTTGCATAGTATCAATATATCTTTGTCAAAAATGCCAGGTGAGGGATACAGACACCTTGGAGCCTCTTTTTTTGGCATTTTTGGAAATTATCTTGAACTCTATAATAGTTAGTAGAGAGAAATTGTAATCAGCAAAAAAAGATCAGCTAGACAAGTTTTATACCAGAACATCAAGTGTTGGAAATTGTAAAATGACTCCTTATAGAAGTTATTGTCCTTTAATGACTTTATAAAAATGTTCTCCAAGTGGATCTGGATAAAACCTGGTTGCAATTTTACTTAATGTGTGAAAGATTACTGCCACTGTTGCTCATGGTTTGAATGTTGCATTCAATTGCCAGATGAGTGATGACCTATTAATCTTTAGTTTATTAATTGGACCAATTCAAAAAATGGTGTTGCATTATGAAAGATGACTGCTTTGAAAGTTCTGGTTTGTGTAAACAATATTTTCAAAGATAGACTGTTCAGCATCATTAACCAAAACCAATTTCTAATTTTGTCCATTGAGGACTTATGTGTAAAAGCTTTTGAATTCTTCAATTTATATTACAGAATTCTCTAGCAGATTTTATCAACATAGAAATGATATTTCATGCCAGAGCTTTGGAATACTATGCCAGATGTTTTGAAAATATTGTGATGATAGATGAAGAAAGAGATTTACAGGTAATTCTAAAGAAAACGAAATTCCAACTTGTAGCATCTGGTTTAAAGTCTCTGCGTTGCTCAGATAGTATTTATGGGGAATCAGATCATGAAATAGATTTATTCCTGAATAAAATGTGATAGCAGGTATATGCCAATTAGACAAAAATCTAACAACACCAAAAAACCCAAAGACATCTTTATTGATTTGTTTCCCATTTCATTTTTCTGGTTATTTATAAGTAATCTTTGATAGAATTACTCTAACATAGGTTAATAAATGGGGGATGTCTGTGTACATGAATAGTGAAATTTTATCTCAAAACATATGAATTAAAACTGGAAAATATTCACATAGTAATTATCCTTCACCACCTCAGAAAAATTTCAACATAGGCAAAGTAGTTCTCTATGAATTAGTAATAGGCAAAGTAGTTCTCTATGAATTAGTAATAGAGTTATGCACAAGCTTTTTCATAACAATATTGTTAAATATATTCTGTATTATTTTTTTGCAAAGTTATGCCCTTGAAAAAATAAAAAAACATGTTCATATTTTTCAATGAAATGTACAGAATCTTATAGTTGACAATATTTCAGTGAAAATTTCAAAGCTGTTGTGCCTTAAACAGCATTGAAAATCTTGAAAACTGATTGATTCAGGGTACACTGGAACACTATTTTACGTTTGTCTTGCCTCAATGAAATTATGATGGCAGACTTAGAAGTGATGTTTCTGGCTGCATCTGTGGCAGCAACAATTTGCAAAAGTTTCTGATTAGGTCAGTTTAAGGGGATCTAATGGTAAGTCAACAATATTTAGTATGCAGTTGAAGGGGCATTTGGATATCTCATTTCCATGGAGATAATTGGGCCCAGCCTTATCAGTCATGGTCTATTGACTATAAAAAATTCCCTTAGTTAATGTTAAAGTTTCTGATTAGGTAAGTTTGAGGGGGACCACTTATGGTAAGTCAATGATATTTCGTGTGTAGTATCAACATTAGCACATCTCATATCCATTAATCCCGGACCCCTTAGATTATCTGGACTTGAATCTTCAGTCATGGTTTATTGACTTAGGATTTTTTACATAGTTTACTTGTTGAAGTATTGCCATTTTAATATAAGCATTTGCATGTTAACATCAAAATTACATAAAGACATATCTCTGTGTTAAGAGTTTATGAAATATTTTGTAGGAATTCAAGCGAAAATTACAAGCATCTAAAGGAATGCATGCAGATTTTGGCCAGACTTTAGGTGGATTATCAGGAGGTTCTAGTACAATGGGAAGTGACACATTAGGGACAGGATCCTCATACACATACACATATGGAGACACATCAACAGCTACTGCATCAGCATCAGATGCAAGGAGAGTTAGAATAAGTAATACTGTAAGTTAATGGCAAAGTTTATACTGTAAAAAATGATGGATAAGAAAAATTTGAACTGAATATCTATTTCTGATGGTAGCAATAAGACATTTGAAGTATGCAGTATAGAAAAAAATTCTCCTTAAATATGACACTATGAAATGTCAAAGTTAAGATATGATCCCTATGACCATATTATTACAGGGGACCTTAACATCATTCAAGACTGAGAGGTTATAAACTCAAAAAAGGACCAAAATATGGTCCACCTTCAAAAATAGAGTGAAAATTTAAAGGTTTCTTCTATGTACTGGTTTCCTAAACTACACAAAAACCTTTTCGAATTTCATTTCATCTTGACTTCTAGTAAGTGATCTACAACCAATCTTTCTGTACTGTTAAAGGGAAAATTCGCGATTTTTTACTTATCATCTTATTATGTTCATAATACCATAAAAAACATATTCACCAAGTTTTATCTGGATATGAACACTAATAAAGAAGAAAATTGGGAATTATTAATTTTATTTATTCGAACTTCCTGACTTCTGTGACGTAGTTTAAGTCTTTTTGCATGCCGGGAGTGGATTAATCTCATTTTAAGTCTTGTTCGTTAATCATCTTATAACGCGATTTAAAGCGCATCGACGACTTTTGGCGTAGCTATTAACCAACTAATAATTCAGAAAGAAAAGTGATCAGCCGTGGAACTTTTAAAATTAAAATGCACCTTTTATATTTTAAGGATTTCTGATATGATTATAGTAATAAAAGTAAATAGAATGTTTTTATGATTTTTTTCCGACGGATATGTTGAACAAACATATATAACTGATAGTGTAGTAAAAATGCATGTTTGTATTCTCACCTATTACTTCAGTTGATGATTTGTCTTACTATACAAATCCTTGCTTCAGTCTAGTACTATGTAAATACAATGCATGTGTATTCTACTGACACCACCTGGTAAAGGCGTGGTTAAATTCACGGTTATTAAAAGATTAGCATTATGTAATTTTAATCTTTTGATCTTCACAAGAGTTTTGTTTGGCCTCAAGGGTTCACCGTTGTAGGTATGAAAAACATTGGAAAAAAAGGATAAAACAGAAGTGCGGGTTTGAGACAGGATATTTTTTTTAATTATTTGGGGAGGAATATGGTGGCAAAATAACTGAATCGCCGTTATATATTTTTTAATATTTTGCGTTAGCTAAATTTTTTAATAAATAGGTGATCAATTTGTTGTAACATCGAAATTCTGATTTACTTTCAATTAAATAATTTTATAGATAAAAATGGCTCACGAAAACGAGCGTATAAATCAAAACTGTACTGTTTCAAGTTATCATCGGTAACCTTGAATATTTATTTAAATGTGCAGAGAAAATTATCAGTTACATTAATATAGTTTGGTCCGTCCAAAGCGATCTACATTTACCTAATGGGGAATGGCCTGATTAAAATATTCTAAATCTCACAACGTATAAATTCTTTAGCTATTTGACCAACGATGTTTTAAAAAATTAACAGAATCAATCTAACGTCAACTTTCCTTTTTTGAATGGAGAAAGACCGTCGGAATCAATTTTCAATGTGCTTTATATCTTGTACCTTTGCAAGACTTATCATTCATTCATAAACCCACTCTAAACCAGAGACATATATACGTCTGTTTAAACTGACAAGAATACTCCTAAAACGGACAAGCAGTATATTCTTTAAATTTCTGTGATTAAATACCAAGAAAGAAAAAAATCCCGAAATTAATTTGATACTCAATATTTTTCCTGGAAAATATTCACATCCTCATTCGGTCTGAAAAAAAGATAAGAATTTGGTATACAGAACATGCAGAAGTGTGAATGTCATAAAACCTAATTGTTATATCAGAAACCATTATAAATGTGAACCTGTATACGTAAGACCTCATGGGACGTCAACTAAGATCACCTAACCACATACAGGTAATATACAAGTAGCTCTGTTATACCCGGAAATGTCAAGGTTAATCACTACTGATACAGAATGTACCAATGCAAAGAAAATTCTGATGATTGTGAAGCATGACCATTCATGATTTTAGAGGCATCTTAGGTGGGGGATTGCCAGAACGATTTAATTTAAATTCTGACTAGATTTTTTTTTCTCAATATAAATCACTGAACTAATAAAAAGAAGAAAACTACGCCCAAGAACAGAATTCTTCTTGTAAATTCATAAATACACCGTTCTTATTTTGTAACTTTCGATAGACATGAACTCCAGCCCCCCCAACCTGGGAACAGTATATCTTACAATGTATATATTCCTGCCAAAATAAAAAAAAAGGAGAAAAAAAAAGAGATGAACGGTAAATCACATCAGATTCAGATATTTATATAGTTGATTGTCGTTAGCTAGAGATGTATACATGTCTCTGCGTTAACTTATAAAAATAACGTATAAATTTGAAATAGATTTATGATGAATACTATGCAACTGCGACACCCCTTTTTATCACAGCGTACATGCATGTATTTAAATGACTGTCCGTTATTTCGATTAAGAATGACAATCGTACGTAAAATCCTATAGTTCATGGTGAGACTTTTTGTACCAGATATGCGACTTTTCGTATTTATATTTTCTCTTATATTACTCTCATTTGATATTTTATGCATAAGTGCAATATTGGAATGGTTTATTACCACCACAAGCTAACTAAATAAATTAATCAACCCTCTAGCTGACCAGACGTTAATACAACTACTATCAGTCTATCCGCAGTGAAGTTTCTATATTTCTTCAAATAGGCTTTTTGGGGATCATTAGTGTACGTCCAGTGGCATATATATTACATGCATGTCGGAACAGGAAAATTGACATCAGGTACTTTTAGAACCATGTTCACATTATTATACATTATACCCAACAATTGTGATGATGACGAATTTCTTAAACTGTTCAAAATAATCTTATTGAAAAGTAAATCTGTGATTTTACTATGTCCATAACTTCGATGAACCAAAGCAAGTTAGATATCGAACTGTATTTAAATCAGATTGGTTCTGGATGTTTCTCTCGTATATTCAATGTACATGTATATATTCTAAATTGCGACTATCTATAGTTCCGTAACCTTCTATCTAGGCGTATAAACCAATGATTGACAAGTGCGTACATTTTGTTAAATCAATATTTGTATGTTTCAAAATGTCCATACTTATTGACAACGAGTATATACTTACATTTTCCCCAATTTACCCTTGGAAAATATGTAAATAGATTTTTTATTTTATCAAATCTTTTTTTTTTGGAATTATTTAGATTTTCATAAATATCATTCTTTACACCAGAAATGTTATTTATAAACAAGCGTATGAGTTTAGTAATGACTAGTATATCACTATCGGACATGCAAGACAAAGATGTATATTACACCTGATAGTTTCAAAATGGAAAGTTACCGGCAAGTTAGTCGGCCGTGTACACTGATCAATACCCTCAGAAGTGAAGTGATGCACGAACTTGCTTTATGAAATTGTGTAATAAGAGTTTTAAAGCCCGACAGGAAATCGCTTGAATACCTGGACGTGTCACCTCACAATACCTCTGGGATTTCTTTAGCCATGCTAGTGATCAGATAAGGGAAGGTCCGAATTTATTTAAATAAGTTTATTACATAAAAGAATTATGAACAAACTAGATTTTCGAAAACAATATTACACAGAACACTTATTTATGACTTTGAACTTTGACTATTAACTAATTTCCATTAACATTTCTTGTTTCAAAAACTTAGTTAAAAAAAACATTTTGAAAACAATAGTTATTTTTAAAAAAAATATATAATTACATTTTCCGTATCAAGTTAGTTAGGAAATGTTGCACAACCATGCACAACCATGCCTATTATAATCTTTTTTGTGACCCGGGAAACTGTTAATGCTTTCCTTGTCGGATAAAACAACCGTACGCTTGACAAGATATATACACTCAATTACGGCTACGTTAGGTTACTGCTTGCTTTGGTCCTTTGTGGTTTATAGATATATCGTGGTCTCTATTCAGGGAGGATGTCAAAATGGCCGCATGCGGAGAATTGATACTCTAAATTTAAAATCGATGGTGATCTCTTATCTAGCAGAATAAAACTTTAATATTTATGAATTTGTGCTTTTTTATACATAATGAACATAATATCAATTTTTCATTTTTTTGCGAAGTTTCCCTTTAACAAGTTCCCTCACTTCTATTAAAGAGGTTAGGGGGAGGGTTGGGATCCCGCTAACATGTTTAACCCCGCCACATTCTGTATGTATGTACCTGTCCCAAGTCAGGAGCCTGTAATTCAGTGGTTGTTGTTTGTTTATGTGTTACATATTTGTTTTTCGTTCATTTTTTGTACATAAATTAGGCCGTTAGTTTTCTCGTTTGAATTGTTTTACATTGTCATTTCGGGGCCTTTTATAGCTGACTGTGTGGTATGGGCTTTGCTCATTGTTGAAGGCCATACGGTGACCTATAGTTGTTAATTTCTGTGTCATTTGGTCTCTTGTGGAGAGTTGTCTCATTGGCAATCATACCACATCTTCTTTTTTATATTGTAATTAATTTTTATAATAACGCGTATGAAATTAATGGAATTAACTATTTTGGATAAATTTGCGTGCTTTTGATGGTCCGTTCAATTCTGTTGACAGTTATGATTTTTCATCTGTACACTACACTACCACACAAGTTACCACAAATTAATTAAAACCTTTATCAAATTCTTTGATAGATACAAATATTTGGTGAGGAAACTTGGCTGTACCTATGAATTCTAATCAAAACTAGATATCACATCCTAAATTTTACAATAATGTTGTTTATAGAGCCTGTAAATTTAGATATGATCCATGTAAACTCATAGATCCTTTGAACAAATGGTTATTTTTGAAATCTCAAGAAGAGATTCTATATGAATTTATGGGTTAAATATACTAACCTCAATTTACATTTATATTACGTAGAATATGTTTGCAATGAGAACATGTAATGAAGGCAAAAATATTGTATATAATATAAATGTAAATTCATGGTAAGTATATTTAACCAAATTCATGTAAAACTTATTCTTAAAGGTTATCAAATTAACACAGTAGTAAAATTTTTAAATATTGTTTTTATAGGTGCTAACATTGATTTTGATTTTGAAAAATTAAAACATAACTTAATACATATTGATATGTATATATTGAGGTAAACCTTCCAAATAATGTTTTGATTCTTAACATCACTGAAGAGACATTAATTGTCGAAATCCTGATATGGTGTACAAATTTTTGCACCTCATGTTTGTGGTATACCATCGTTTCCGCAAGTTTATTGTTTTCTGTTTGGTATTAAATTAATAATTAAGATCCATTTTGTTACATCTGGTGATCCATTTATTTGGCAATTGCCATGGCAGTCAGCAGGGTTTAAGAACATCCGTTGTTCGACCTGCTAGTCAAATGCGTTTTATTAACTTAACCATATTAACATATGGACTCCTCAAAGAGTTGTTGCAAGGGTTTAAAGTGTGGCACTCTCTCTACACGTGGCATCAGATTAAATGTCCCCATTCTGACCGGATCGACAGGCTGCGTATTTATACATCCCATACATCTTATGGTCTCAAATTGACTTAAGGAATGACACATCAGTCAACAATTAAAAAAACAACACTGTTTTCACAATTCTAAAGCAAGTGAAAGAAAACACTATTAAATAGTACATTTACAAAACGTTTACAAACATGGAATTGAAGCCACCAAATATCCGACAAAAGGAGTAGGTTCGATAACACCCTAAAACGGCCCCCTATTTCTAGCTACAATTTCAAATTGGGATTTATTGACCAATATCACAATGAATCATAGCTAATAAAATGACTAGATAGAAAATATGTCTTTTTGTTGAAAATTTACGTACTTGTGTTCTATTCATGATGTCACAAATAGCACTCATTTTGATTTTCAACGAAAATTTAATGAAAACGGGTAAATTTCCAATGATTTTTTGGACAGGAAACATAGAGCGAATGCGTTGACAAAAAAGCTTTTTTAACTAAATGTTTGTTATCACATTTTACATATCTGACTTGAATATTTAGTTTGTTGACGCCTGCGCTCTATGTTTCCTAGGCCTTAATTTGGTTGAAATCTTGACGATTTGGTCAAATTTGGAAAAATCTCTATTTTTGACCTATTTGGGATGTAAAAATCAACGCTTTAAAACTTAAACTTTGACAAAAAAAGTTCATTCAACTTTCTCACATGTCTTTTTATCTCTTTAAAATATTTATTATCTTGAAACATTAAACTTAATAATCGGGGCCAAATATGACCCTTACCGAACTTACTCCTTTGTGATGTTTAAAATGTATATGTCAAATAGTGTTTCATTTATTTCCCTTGAGGACACATCATTAAAGTTTAGTTTTTCCTCCTGCAACTAGAATTAGTAAATACACTGATATTTAGTAATAACCTGAAGAGAACTGAAGAAAGGGAAGACTGGGTAGATGTACATAGTAAAAAAATTCGTATTTTTGTTGCTTTTTTTTACCAGAAAACATGATCCTGAAAGTTGTTTCAACATATTCATCATTGGATCAAAACAGTTCATCAGAGTCTCTAGCTTCAATATAAGTAAAAGTCTTAGGAGATGTGTTGGTATACAACATTAAGACATAACATCAAAAGACTAACGGTCAACATATGGTCTTAAACAATAGACTAGCATCTCTTTACCATATACCATATCAAGCTCTAAATAGCTTTGAGTTTTGGAATCACAAGCCCTACCTCCAAATCAATATTTATAGATAATAACATGCCCTTTTCCATATTGGCCCTGGTATCATCCCGAGACTCCCATATCAGCCCGAGGCTTTAGCCAAGCCGTTATGGGTTGAGGAATGATACCAGGGCAAATATGGAAAAGACATGTTATAATCTATTTATCACATATTTAAGTTCTACAGAAAAGAGAAAAACGTTCAATTATAACTATTTAATAAACACAACTGGTAAAATCTGAAAAGATTTATCACATTTTCCATTAGTTTTTAATATTTACTGCATTGGTAATAGTCTAAATCGATAATAGTTGGTTGGACATTGTTACTAGTGGCCATTGTAGCATAATTCTCATAATTTTCAATACAAACACTGTCATTGTTCGCCATTGTCGTTAAGGACGCATTGACGTCACGTCATTTGGAATTGGGGCACAATAACCAATAACCACTTTTTTGCCCCGGGCAGCAATATGAGTAGGACAATATGAGTGTGGTTATTACATATGCAAAACCCTATGTTTTCGTAACAAATATGTGATAATATAACTTACATTATGTAATTAATTAAGAATTTTGTTTTAGTCAATGATGTATGATGATGATGAAGATGATGAAGATGATGATGATGATGATGAGTACAGCGTACCTAGAAGGACAGGAATGAGATGATTATAAACATTTTAACTTATGTAGTAGCAGTATAGATGAAACAAGGACAGAACCAGTTTGGACACCAATCATAGTTAATAAAAATGCATGTTAAATCACTCCATAGAAATAACTATTGATTTTGTGAATATTTCATGCATTAACCAAAGTTCAAATTGGAGATAGAATGATATTCCACCCACTCGATAAGTTTTTTCCACTGAATAAAGGATTCCTAAACTAGAAGCTAAGTCTTGAATAAATCACACAATGTTAAGTTGATTCCGAACAAAGAAAATTGTATTTGATCATGTTATATGTAACTTCTTTGTAGAAGTTTTATAACAAAGAATGTTAATACTTAAAGATAAGCCATGTACTTAGAAATGTAAAAATCCAAGTTCTTGCTCAATAGGCTGCTTTGGTAAAACCATGGTTTAGCCTTTGAAGGAAGAAAAATGTAAGGCTTCACTGTAAAGCACAGGTGTCATATACTGCAGTTTTAGTTTTATTTTGAAGGAAAAGATATCATTTGTACTCCTAAATGTGGGACCAGAATATCTCATAGCAGTCTAAGTTTTTCTAGGAGAGAACTGAATTACATTTTTCGTAGTTGTGGGAATTTTTTTTCATCTATAGCTGGAAAAGGGATCATATATTTTCACTGTGTGAAATCGTATTCTGAAATAATAAAAAAGCATTTATGTCACTACTTCTTTTTCAAAATAAAGGTATGTAATATGGTTAATAAAAGATTTCTCCATTCCAATTACCGGTATTGGGTCTAGTATAAAATTCTGGAAAAAAAAACCAACCCCAAACCTGAGGATGTTTGTATGTAAAGTAAAAATAGTAAATGTTTGTTTCAGAAGTGGTCAGTAGTGGTCAGTAGTGGTCACTGATATTGTAAGTGAGTTTTCATAGCAGTGTATTCTCTGCTAAGGGAGCTACCATTTGATTTTTATGGGGGGGCTAGGATGAAATTTGAAAAAAAAAGGCAGGACAGAAGTTTTGAGTAAAAAAATAGGCAGGATGAGCAACTTGGCAAAAAAAAAAGGCAGGATGACAAATTATGTATAAAAAATCAGGATAAAGTAATAAAAAAAAAGGCAGGACCGAATAAAGTGAAAAATAAAAAGGCACGACCGAGATTACAACTAAAAAAAAAGGCAGGACAAAATTTTTCATCCTAGCCCCCCATAAAAATCAAATGGTAGCTCCCTAATGGATGAAATAAACTAGTGTAGGATTTCCATGACAGTTTATCTGTATGCTTTTATTTCTACAAAAAAAATGCTACAGCTAAGAAATAATACACTTGTGTCTTTTATGTACCAAAAATTTTAAAACATTCCAGATTGAAAATTTATTTTTATTTTTGGTAACATACAGGTTTTAGTTCTGTTATAAGATTTTTGCTCAGAAGTATTTCTATGACATTTGTTTATTTACAGAATGAATATGTGAAATAAAACTTTCTCCCAAAGGAGGAAATATTTTGATACATTTTGTATATTTTTCCACTTTGAAATGAATAGAAATCTCTTATCAAGTGGAAAAATATCTATGGAAGTATGAATCTCATTAAAACATATCAATTAGTCATTTTATATACAATTTCAAATTTGTGTGTGTTTGTGAAAACATCAGACTGAAATAAGAAGCACAGTACTACTCAATTCATTTACATATGAAACTCAAGACAGTAATAAGTTTTAGATCAGTAAAATAACATAATAAATCTTTTATATTGTTATAAATCATATATAAGTCATGAATTTTTATTATTTACAAAATTTCATAATTATTTTTTTTGTTCAGGTAGTTATGTATTGTTTAAAGATTGTGGCTCATGAACTTTATGTTTATGGAAGGTTATAAGTTCATTGTTTCAAACATTACCATGACTGGAAAGGTGCTTGGCCTCACCATTTTGGTTATTACTTTGTATTTATTTTAGTCTCAGTTAACACGATCTATTTTCAACTCTCCTATTATAGTGCTTGACATTTCAAAAATCATGACATAGTTTGTTTTTATACAGATTTTAAAAGGTCTATAAATATATGGAATTAGGACAATATATAAGATAAGAAATAATCGTTTATTGAATTAACATTTGATTCAATTTTTTTTTTAATATGAACAGATGAAAATATTATTAACTGTGTTTGTTAGGGATGTTTTCTTGATATGACAAAATGGAAATATTTTGACATTAATATTTTCTGCTGTTTTGACTATGGACCACAGATATTTCAGTTACAACCAAAGATGACATGTCAGAAAAAAAACAGACAGAGCTTAAAGCTCATTTTAAACTATATGGAATATTTTGCACCTTATACTTTAGCATTAAGGTATATTTAAATTTTACCTCAATAACACTTTGGAAATCAAAGAATATAATTAAATTATGAAGATCAGAGAAATAATCCTAAAATTGAGAGATATCTTCTTAATAATATATAGAAACTTGTAACACCATTTGTCATATAAAAAACAAAGTTTTGTGAACCCTGTAATAAATCCAATTAAAGTGCATCCCCTTTATTTAATACAACATTGGAAAGCAATGTTGTAATCTCTAAATTTTAAAATTATGGATCATTTGCCTAAAATGAAGGTTGAAATATTCAAACACTGGATCAATAGATGCAAATTTTTTTTCTATGAAAAACCTAACATATATGTAAATGTCTTAAAAATCAAAAAAATAATACAAAAGTGTAAATCATAATGCAAGTTTCATAAAATTATTATTCATAAGGTAAAATCAGATGTATCTAGAAAATGTATTGCAAAGGAGAAACGAAATCATAAATCATTCCATAATCTCTTAAAAGACCAGTAAGATTTGTATACACACACGATTGCCAAAAGCTTAATGAGGTTGAAATAAACAAATTATTAGTATAATGTGGAACCAGTAGATATAGGTACCAGGTATAGCTGATAATTGCTCTCTTAACATCACCCATGGCTAGCTTGAATAATTAATCATATAAATGTTAATTTTGACTGTTGTTTTGTTATTAATGTCTGATCGTAAAAAGTATAATAGTGCATATAATAATGTCAAAAAATAATGTCACAAGTACTTTAAAAGGTAATCAATTTGGTTTATGTAACCAATCACTGCATAGTTTATATTAAATATGAATATATAAAGTTGTAAATATTCATGGTATTTATTACAATTATTTTGATAAACAACATATGAATGTATTTACCACTAAGGACATATTAATTGTCATTAATTATGTAAATTATATCCTTCAGGGTCTGTCCAGGGCTAACTGCCATGCTATCATAATAAGGAAGAGGATATATAAGAAATGTGATTGGTTTTTATTTTTGTTATCATCTCAATAGTTGTCAGAACTTTTTATAATTACTATAAATGGATAAAGTTCCCCTGGGAATGTAAATTGGTGTTTGTTTTGATAACATTTGATTTTTTTGTTTTTTTTCTCTTTTGAAAAGATTTTAAGGTTTTTAAAAATTTTTAGTTCTGACTAGTTCTGTTGACAATTATGAAATCACTAATCATTTTGAATACGGTAAATTCAGAAATTATTGCGTGCATTTATTATTGCGATTTTGTCATTTTAGACTTAAATGCGATTTTAATTTTTACGATTTTGAGAAAAATCCTGTTTAATTCATATAAAATATTTCAAAATGCAAGTTTTAATTATTGCGTTTACAACTCTGTGGCATTTTTCGCAATAATTAAAACCTCGTAATAATTTCTGAATTTACAGTAGCAGGAACAAACAAATCAAGGGAAACAGAGAAAATGAAGTAATAGGACAGGATTTATTTTAACAGTTGTAAAATTCTAGCTTACTTGTGTCATTTTTTGTAAGCCTTGAAAACTTATGGCAGAAAAAATGTTTCCCTCTCGGCTTTGACAACATAGTTTCTTATTTTAGTAAGAGACAATTTATTAAAACATTTTATTTTTTGGCTGGACAGAAAATTGTCTGTATTACTTTTGATAAGAGTTATCGTAATTATTAATTCATGTTATTTAAATATTTTAGGTTATTTCTGGTAAAAACTGAGATATCAGATGTTTAGAACTTGCCTCAATTTTTAGTATATACATTTTATAAATAAAGATTGTTATAAATTATATTGTTTAATTTAATTTGTTAATGTGTCTAGTTATTTAAATTTTATATTTATGATTATATGTTTTACCATAGTCTGTGATTATTATATTCCTCTGTGATTTATATATGACTAACTTGTCTCAAAATATAACATACTTCTCTGCATAGAAGCTTCTGTGATAATTTGCTTTGTATAGGAAGAGAGAGCTTAAAGGGGAATTTAAAAGCTTAAAGGCCAATCCAGTTAATTTTGCTGTTTTGGATTTTATGAAAACTAAAATAGAGTTAAATGATTAAAATTTTAATTTCAATTATGCTTTTTATAAAACTTTCTTTTTAGGAAATTTATAATTAAGCAATACTTAATTACATATTTTATTTTATATAAGAATTGACTTTTAACAATAACTTTATAACTTTATTCCATGTAAATGTGGAAAATGTATCCAAAATGAAGAAATTTTGATATTTGAAATGCAAATTTATAATTATTTTATGATTCAACAGACTAAAAATTATTTTGATTAGGCCTTTACTATATAATTTACAATATTAATTAGATTAATTTGATTATACTCCACTATATGAAATACTGAATGTTTTTTTTTATATTTTATACTTTCACATTTATATATATGTAAGCAGTTTGTATTGAATATTACATGTTGCACATAGTAAATGCTGGTGGATTGATTCAATATTTTAACAGTCACAAATATTACACAAAGTGAAACCATATCCAGATTTAATAACTTTGTTAAAGTAAAAAAAGGGGAGATAACTGAAAAAATAAATCAACTCATGGGTATAAATGAGCATCTTAGTTCAATATTATCAGAAAACTTTTGATTATTTGGAAAAAGGGATATGGGTTGGATGTTTAGGGATATGGGTTGGATGTTTAGGGATATGGGTTGGATGTTTAGGGATATGGGTTGGATGTTTATTTTACTGATACAAAAGAAGAGAGAGATACACATTTATGATCTCAGATTACATTTTAATTTTTTCTATTTTTTTTCTGAATATGGTTTCTTTGGAGAACAATGAGACAAATTTTAAACATTGAATTGAGAACTAACACTTAAAAAAGCAATCAGATTGTCATACTAAATGTAGTGAATGTAATATTATTGACCAAAGACTAACTGCATGATTAGCTCAGGTGCTTTTACAGTAGTGCAAATCAAAGAACAAAATAGAATAAAGTAATGTCTAGTCTAGAATGTGTTCTTTTTTTATAACAAAAAATTTACATTGTAAATTTTGAACCATCTATCAATATATTAAATAGAGAATCTGAGATGTATAAGCATATAATTCTGTCTGGGGTGTTGGGAGGTCAAGGCTCATATATTGAAGGTCAAGGCTCATATATTGAAGGTCAAGGTTACACAAATTTACATATGTATTTTTCAAAATCTTGTTTGCAGGGATGTTAGAAATATCCATGTATCTAAATGATATCCCAACACTCCTGTGAGAATTCATGCAAAATGTATCCTGGAATCACCTTGTCTGTTCCATCCACCCCTTATGCTTAGATCCCAGTTTCATATAATTATTACTAATGTTTGAGGGCAATGTCATGACCTTGAACCAACTGATACATGTATGAAAGTGGTACCTTACTTTAACCTTTTTATTTAGTATGGCCTGGATCTAAGACTTTAGACAGTTGTTGCCTAGATCTAAGACTTTAGACAGTTGTTGCCTGGATCTAAAACTTTAGAATGAGTTGTGACCTTGAACTAAAGCCATGTCTGAAGGTCAATACTTCAGCTAATCAATTTATTGAAAGAAAAAGTCAAAGGGCAATAAAAAATCATATATGAAAGGACATCCAACACTATAGGCAAAATAGCATGAAAAAGCAACAGTCCACATGAATATACATTAAAACCAAAGATTCAGAAAATTGAAACTCCCTAAAAGAACAGGTACAAACAAAGTGCTCCTGAATTGTACAGAGTAGTCGCTTATTACATGTAAAAGACTAATGATTAGTGGTATTCAGTATAGTCATGAACAAGGAAAGGATTGTCAACAAACTGAATATATCCAGGATCATCTTTCAATGAAATGACTTCCAACTTTTTCAAAAGAACAGTTGGTTGTAGTTTTTTTGTAAAAAGCAACCCTCTAGCAAAGAAATCTTTTCAGCATACATAAGCTTAAAATGGCCTCAATGCAGTTTCTTGGTTTTGACTGCTGATTTGTTTAGGTCTTTATTTTTTTCTTTGATGCTCCAAATATTCTTTGTATTTCACTTCCAGAAACATTTATCATGGGAAATGAACTCGTTATTGTATGTTTATTTCAATTTTCAAAATTCAAAATGTTTAATGCAGTGAGTAAAAATTATGATTCCCAGGAAATTAAGCTTTATTGTATGGCAAATTAATTCTATCCTTCTTTAATTTTTTGGAATTAAATATGTTGTACAGAAATTGAGGGCCAGATTAGAACAACCTGTTAAACTTCTAAAATGTAACAATGTTGAGTAATTTAGGTGCAATCTTTTAGTCTGGGAAAACATGGTTTATAAAGTAGTTGAAATTTTATTTAGACTAGCTTTCAGCAACTATGAGTACGCGAAGATCACTACTGCATGATTTTTTTTGTCTTATTGTGCTTTATGCAGATTTGATGATTTTTCAAGTTTGTTCTTATGTTGTGCTCTATTTCCCAGGTTAGGAGAGGGTTGCCCCTTATAAACATGTTTATATGTGTCTGTACCAAGTAAGGAGCCTTTTAACCAGTGGTTGTTATTGGTTGCTTTCTGCCTTATTTGTATTGCATTTATTGTGTTTTAAACATAGCTCCAGGTCTTTGGTTTTTTCTTTTGAATGTTGCTTTACATTTTGTTATGCCGGAGCCTTTCATAGCTTACTATGGAGTATGGGTTTTTCACATTGTCAAAGGCCATCTGTTGACCTATAGTTGTTTACATTCTCATCATCTGATGAATCGTTGTCTAATTGGTAATCATACCATTTCTCCAAATTTTAGCAAGGATTTATTATAGAGTAAGATTGATTTTATGTAGATAACATTTTAAAAATATACATTTTTAAATCCAATTGGCTAATGTCAAGGTTGTAAAGTTTTCCGTGTTGTTGATTAAACTTGTAAATAAAAAGGTTAATACGTATGTTTTCGAATAATGTAAATAAACATTTTCGTTTTTACGTTCTAAATGTATAAATCAAAACGAAAGTGAAAGTGCCGTAGGTACTAAGAACAAGGAAGAGAAGTCCCACATTAGTGTTTCCGAATGTGTTTGACGTCAACCAATGACCTTTGTTGGGTCATCGTTATCGGCTTCACAGACACAAAGAATGAACACATTTCATTCACGAAATAATCAACAAACTATACTGGACCTAATGGATTCATCATGTACAATTTGAAGACTGAAGATAGAACTTTAAATCTTTTAGCTTTTCACACAAATACATTGAGAAATGGCGACAAAATATTGTTTCCAAAAACACATTATCCACGCTTTGTTCCTCGTCCTGCTGTCATGGGCTCAAGTAGGATCAGCCAAAGAACACGAGGAATCTCACAACGAAACAGAACGATATAAGATTTTATCATTTGATTTTGAAAGAGTAGAGCTACCATATGTGATATGTTTGTGGATATTAATTGTTGCTTTAGCCAAAATAGGTAAGCCACGTTACTAACCACTCCCCCGTTATTGATCCCATAGTCTTTGGGATATCAGGTTGTAAACTTATCCCTGATAGAATTGTGTATTCATTTTCTCTCCTTTTTTTTAATATGACCATAGGTGGACTGTTGACTTGGAACCCCAAACTAGCAATAAGCTATCATCCCCACACTGCAGTCTGCACTCTAATAAAGAAGACAAATATACATGTAAATGTAAAATGACAGGGAAATATCACCCCTGCACAACAAGCATTGATTGTTTGCTTTATCATTTCTGCATCTTCTTCCTTTTTATTTTGTACATATAAAAAATAAATTTTTAAATCAGTTTTAGATGTTTCTTTTTTTTAGACACAAGGTTTCGTTATTGACAAATATTAGCATCAATGTTAAATTAAAAACTTAAAAATGTATCACATAGATTCCACTGTTAACAATGCAAAGAGAAATGGTCTCCATTTTATTGAATTTATACTATGGGATTAAAAAAAAACCTGCTCCAAGATATATTATATCTCTTCATCTTTTTCTTTTCCTCTCCTGAGATACATGTGTCTCTGATGTTGTTTTTTATAAAACTCTGAGAATATGAAAACTGTATTTACCTTACATTTTGAATCACCTAAGAGAAAGTATACAAATCATTGCTTGTAGAACCAAATTTAACCTAACTACCCAATGTTGAAAAAATAACTAATTTCAAACTGTGTCAGTCCAAATTTTTACATTGTGACATAAAAGAATAAAATTTTGGAAAACTTGTGATTTTCCCCACTTTTCCGTGCTCCAATAGAGAAGATTTTTTGAATGAGTGTAAAGGTAAAGCTGTTAGATCTAATGTAGTAGGGTTTGCCATATACATGTAAACATGAGCAGATTGTTTGACTTTTTCCCCATTGAAGCAATTGATATCTAAAGTTAAATTTATGATTGATACTTGTAAGTGATGGCAAGACTGTTGAATTACAAAATGACAAAGAGCCATTTACTCTTTCTTAGGGTGACAGATGTGATCTTAAGGGATTGTAATCCATTCTTAACGTTACAATGTATTTATTATATACAATGTATACATGTACATGTATTATTGGGATTTATTTCTTTTATTGTTTTTTTTTTAAATTTTATACCCTACCAGCCAATGGCTGAGTTTATAGTGGATTTTATCTATAGACTGAGGTGCTAACACAAAAGATATTTTGGACTAACTGTTTCCTGTCACACTGAACCTGTAGACAGTAGATACTTCAAGTTCATTGAATTTTTATAAGTTGTCATAACATGTAATTGTTTTAGGAAATGCACTGTAATACCTGGGTATAATACCTGAGTATTATTTATTGGTATCATATTTAGATTTGTTTGTAAGATAAAACAATTCAATTGAATGGATAGCAATAAAATTCCAAACAGGATCTCAATTATTTTGTGATGCACTTGTATGCATTATACATGTTATATCTTTACATTAACAGTATAATAGTTCGGTTGTTTTCTGAGAGTTCATTTGTGATTTTTTATTGTATGAACATTTGTCAGGTAAAGGAGTGTTTTGGAAATATGACCAAGCATGTAATTAGCCAGATTAAGGAAGTGTATCCTTGGGACAGGGATGTACGATGTTCAATGATGTCATTCCCCTTTAGCTACTTGTAATAGAGATATCCTTCCTACCTTTAGTAATAACATCATACAGGGGTTTACATGTACTGTAGGATGTCTTGTTCATTACCATTGAGCTACTCGTAGTAGATATCCTTCCTACCTTTAGTAATAACATCATACAGGGGTTTACATGTACTGTAGGATGTCTTAATCATTACCATTGAGCTACTCGTAGTAGATATCCTTCCTACCTTTAGTAATAACATCATACAGGGGTTTACATGTACTGTCTGATGTCTTAATCATTACCATTGAGCTACTCGTAGTAGATATCATTCCTGCCTTTAGTAATAACATCATACAGGGGTTTACATGTACTGTAGGATGTCTTGTTCATTACCATTGAGCTACTCGTAGTAGATATCCTTCCTACCTTTAGTAATAACATCATACAGGGGTTTACATGTACTGTAGGATGTCTTAATCATTACCATTGAGCTACTCGTAGTAGATATCCTTCCTACCTTTATAATAATTATAACATAATACAGGGTTTTACATGTCCTGCAGGATGTCTTAATTAATTCATATATTATTTGTTACTATTGGAACATATAAGCTTTCTTAAATTTATGTATATAATAACCTGTTGACTTAGAAAAGTTTTCTTGTACTATTTAAAATAAAACAAATAGACATTACATAAAGCAAAGCTTTTTCCAATTCACCATACATGTACTCTAATTGTCTTTGGTGGAATAAATATGTAGACCAGAGTTATAATTTCATTATATTCTGAACCAATTTTGGTCAGATCGGTGTTGATATTTTTAGGATCATCTGTACTGGAGGAATGATTGATAAAGGTATAATTATTCTCCAATATTTGGTATGTTGATTCATACTAAGCAGAATCTGTACAACTTAAATGTATCAATCTTTCATATGACCTTGATGGTGACCTCCTTTACACACATCAGTAGTCAGGATAAGTATTCAAGATGTTGTTCCTCAGTAGCTATGTAAATTTATAAGAGGACATTAAGGTTTGCTGTTGTGCAGACTTGTTGTAATAAGTACAATGAATATGTCTGTCTTGTGGCCTTGACCTCATGTGCACTCTGTCTGTTATTATTTCAGGATTAGATTTGTTCCTCAGTTTCAGTAATAGGTCAATAATATTTGGTATAGATGTTTGTTGTAATGAGTAAATATCAATCTGGCATATCAATGGAAATCTACAGGGGGTGTTAAAAATTCAAGGGTGTAGGAGCATCAGTCTAAAATAACTTCTGGTGATCCATTTCTGTATATATGACCTTTACCCCATGTTCATACTGCAGTGTCCATGCTCAAATGAAGTTTTTGGGAAAAGTCTGTCCCTACTTAGAAACTACATTTTGTACATGTAGTACTATGTATTTTAGGTCTCTTAATTTGTGAGTTGAAAAAAAATAGTTTTTATAACAAAATTAAGAGGAAACTCTGAAATGTACCTTCAGTTTTCACAAATCCCAATACATTGTACATACTATGTAAATAAATGTATTTTCCATTAAATTGTGGCTTTTTAAAATTTATCAATACAAAGTTAAACATGAGCAGACTTCCTGTTAATACATTGTTGAATGGTTCACCGTTCAGTAAATTTAAATCTATAATACTGGAAGGATTTCTAAGATGTGTAAAATTGGTTAACCAAAAACTTAATTTCTCATACAATGTATATAATACCCTTGTATTTTTATTTGTTTCAATATTTTTAATTATAAAGTTTTGATAATCAGAGATAAGGATCACACTACTGACATGGCTGTTTAATGATGCTGAAATTCATAGGTTCTATCAATACTGATAGTTATGAATGTGAAAGTCAGCTTACAGTCTCTTTTACATTCTACAGTTCACATGCATGGATCCAACCATTTTGATAGGCGATGTTCCACCCCTGGAACAGCATGAAACGTTTACATTATTAAAATCAGAAAAGAAAAAAATTAAAAAAAGGGGGGGTGGGGGGGGGTTTCCTTGATATGCCAATGGTTCCCTATCAGGACTTATCACTTAATAACTGACTCTATTATTTTTACCTAACTACCCAATCTTGAGAAAATAACAAATTTCGAACTGTGTCAGTCCAAATTTTTACATTGTGACATAAAAGAATAATTGGAAAACTTGTGATTTTCCCTACTTTTGTTTGCACCAATGGAGAAGATTTTTTGAATTAGTGTAAAGGTAAAGCTGTTAGATCTTCTGTAGGAGAGTCTGCCATATAAACCTGAGCAGTTTGTTTGACTTTTTTATTGTCAAGTATTAATTTCCTTTATAAACTTGGTAATAGATATAAATATAACACTGGTTAATTTTTCTGTATAGTTTTGAAACTTTGAAACAGAACTTCAAGGTGTTATACAGGGTAATGACTTCAAATGGTTTATAGTTTCCAAGTATGATCTTTATAATAGATGTATATCTGATCAATAGAACCTTTTAATGGAGAAAATTATTTTGTAATTCAATCTGACATAAACAGATAAATGTTTATAAAACGTCTTTAATAATGTTTACAAACATGAATACAAATTGAAACTTCTGTGCAAGTTCATTGACACGGTAGACGTGCATGATACCTGTTTTAAATACAGCTTGGAGCACACTTCTAAAATCGTTAACAATCGTGATATGCAAGTAGTATATATTCATACCCTCAACCTAATGTGTATACAGTCTGTCGAACACCAACATATTGAACCTGTCTGTCATCAGTACTCCCACATCATTGTATCATCATGTCACCTTGTCCTATATTTCTGTCACTGTATATGTTTCACTGAAATTATTGGAAATTCTGACAAAACCCCTTAACAGATGCCTTCATTGCCAAACCTATTTTCCGGCATGGTTCCATTGAGAGTTAAGATAATAGTCTATTGATTGATTTTATTTTAGTTATTGACAATATATTTACAAGAGAATGGGGAAAATATGAAAGGAGAGTGAGGTTAATGCTTAAAAAGTTAAAAATACATCTAAAATAACTTGGGGTAATTGTTTTGAACAGTTATTATTGCTACATACACTGTTAAGCATGCTCAATGATGAATAGACATATAAATCATTGAAATGACATACTGAAAGTCAAGTTTGCATACAGTACAAGATTCTTTAAAAATACTTTTTATAATACCAGTTACCATGTACATGTATAAGTTTTAAGTACATGTGTCCTTTAGAGGGTTTCTTTACCATGTACATGTGACTTTTTGTGTCAGTTGTAAGATCTTGTTTCCATGAACGTGTATCAGCTGTATAAGGTCGCTTCTTGAAGCAACATACTCGTGTTATTTGGGTTTTTTATTTCCACTCTTTCAAATGAAAAAAAATCT